CTTGCAGATACAGGTCAGTCATGAATGTCTCCTGAAATATCTTTTTGTTATTCGTACATGTCCCCCAGGGCAGTGCCCAACTCCCCATGCCCTTTGTTTTGACAATCCGTTGCCTATTAGACTTTAAAATGACCAGGAATTAAGATCAGGTTCCCATGGACTTCAGTGGGATTCAGGAGTTCTTCAGAATTTTGGTGCAGTGCAGCAGACCTCCAGATATTTGGTTCATTTCTATTGTTCAACATTTACATGCACCCAGTACGGTATTCTTCCTAACTAGGTCTAGGTTATATAGTTACACATTTAGTTAGGTTTAACCACTTTCTGTCCACCTGCCCACATTGTGCTGCGGACAGGCGGTAGCTACAGGAACAGTGATGTACTGGGACATCACTGTGGCTGTACCAACACAGGGGTTCCTGCACTCTTCAGCGGATGTGCAGTGCTCCCCCCCCAAGGACCGGTAATCGGGATCCAGTAGTCACATGATCACAAAGTAGCTTGCAATGTTAGCAAAACTGTTATGAATCAGTTTTAAAGCATGTCATTATTAGTATCTATTTCCTTGGTGTAACATTATATTTTAACAAACAATTGGGCAATATATTGTATTTTTGTGCATTAAAATTCCAAAAAATGTATTATTTCCAAAAATTTTACATTTGAAAAATCGCTGTGCAAATACGGTGACATAAAAAATTGCAACGCCCACCATTTTAGTCTCTAGTGAAAAACTATTTTTTCAAACAAAAAGTGTCAGAAAAGGCTCTGCTTTGCAAGTGGTCAGAAGACTGGGTGATGTTTTGTATCAGCTTCTAATATTGGCCCTGAAATGCCAGGATAGTAGAAGCACCACCCCCCCCCCCCCCCCCAAATGACCCCTTTTTGGAAAGAAGATATTCCAAGGTATTTGCTAAGGGGCATGGTGAGTATATTTCAGGTCTCAATTGTTGCAAGTTTTTGAAAAATGAAGAAGGAAACAAAATATATTTATTCTTTTCTTTTTTTCTTTTTCAAACTCCTGTGACAAAAAATGATATCTGAAAAATGCCTCTTATCAAATTCCTTGGGGTATCTACTTTCTAAAAAAGGGTCATTAAAGGGGGCATTTGTATTATCGTGGCATTTTAGGGCCTCCAAAACTGATAGGTAGTGAGGTAGTACATAAGGAAATATGCTCTTTGAAAGCCTGAAGGTGGTCATTGGATATTGGGGGTCTGTATGTGGCTAGGCTGCCAAAAAGTCTCTCACATGTGGTATCCTCATACTTGAGAGTAGTAGCAGAATGTGTTTTGGGGTGTTATTCCACATATACCCATGGCATGCTTGAGCAATATATAATTTAAGTGATAACTTTGCATAAGAAAAAAAAAAAAAAACATTTTTGGGGTTCTTTCCCAAAAATTTGTGGCAAAAAAAATAAAATCTTCCATAGACTCAACATGCCTCTCAGCAAATTCCTTGGGGTGTCTACTTTCCAAAAATGGGCAATTTAGGGGTGTTTGTTCTGCCCTGGCATTTTAGCACCTCAAGAAATGTGATAGGCAGTCAAAAAGTAAAAGCTGCGTATATTCCAATATACACTATATTGCCAAAAGTATTGGGACCCCTGCCTTTACACGCACATGAACTTTAATGGAATCCCAGTCTTAGTCCATAGGGTTCAATATTGAGTTGGCTCACCTTTTTCAGCTATAACAGCTTCAACTCTTTTGGGAATGCTGTCCGCATGGTTTTAGGAGTATGTCTATGGGAATTAGAGATGAGCGAAGTATTCAAAAATTCGATTCGGCTGATTCGGCGAATTCGCGGAATAAATTCGATTCGAGTCGAATATATTCGCTGCGAATTTAACTTATAAAAAGGGTGTTTCTAGGCTTCAGAGAGCCTTTATATTAGTGCAGAACACTGTACCTTTAATTTAAATGCCCTTGGAGTCTCTTGGGGAAGAGAAATAATACTGTCAGTCAGTATGACATGCAGATGAGTGCCGTCGATCTTAGAATCACCGCACACTTCACTCATTTGGGCAGTCACGGGGCCAAAACCAGAGTGTGGAGCCACAGTGTGGCGGTGGAGGCAGCAGCAATGGGAGGCCATACAGCACCCTATGAAAAAATGGAACCCACCAGCAGTGTGAGGAGACCTGAAAGTGGCACATGGCAGAGTGTGGCGATGGAGACAGCAGCAATGGGAGGCCGTACAGGGACCCATGACACACTCTGGACCTGGCAGCAGCATGAGGAGGCGGTACAGGGGCCCATGACAGATTACGGGCCTGGCAGCAGCATGAGGAGTCGGTACGGGGGCCCATGGCAGATTACGGGCCTGGCAGCAGCAATGGGAAGCCATACAGCACCCTATGACAAAATGGAACCCACCAGCAGTGAGGAGACCTGAAAGTGGCACATGGCAGAGTGTGGCGATGGAGACAGCAGCAATGGGAGGCCGTACAGGGACCCATGACACACTCTGGACCTGGAAGCAGCATGAGGAGGCGGTACAGGGGCCCATGACAGATTACGGGCCTGGCAGCAGCATGAGGAGTCGGTACGGGGGCCCATGGCAGATTACGGGCCTGGGCAGCAGCAATGGGAGGCCCGTAATCTGCCAGCACCCTATGACAAAATGGAACCCACCAGCAGTGTGAGGAGACCTGAAAGTGGCACATGGCAGAGTGTGGCGATGGAGACAGCAGCAATGGGAGGCCGTACAGGGACCCATGACACACTCTGGACCTGGCAGCAGCATGAGGAGGCGGTACAGGGGCCCATGACAGATTACGGGCCTGGCAGCAGCATGAGGAGTCGGTACGGGGGCCCATGGCAGATTACGGGCCTGGCAGCAGCAATGGGAAGCCATACAGCACCCTATGACAAAATGGAACCCACCAGCAGTGAGGAGACCTGAAAGTGGCACATGGCAGAGTGTGGCGATGGAGACAGCAGCAATGGGAGGCCGTACAGGGACCCATGACACACTCTGGACCTGGCAGCAGCATGAGGAGGCGGTACAGGGGCCCATGACAGATTACGGGCCTGGCAGCAGCATGAGGAGTCGGTACGGGGGCCCATGGCAGATTACGGGCCTGGCAGCAGTAATGGGAGGCCATACAGCACCCTATGACAAAATGGAACCCACCAGCAGTGTGAGGAGACCTGAAAGTGGCACATGGCAGAGTGTGGCGATGGAGACAGCAGCAATGGGAGGCCGTACAGGGACCCATGACACACTCTGGAACTGGCAGCAGCAAGAGGAGGCGGTACAGGGGGCCCATGGCAGAGTGGCAAAGCGTAAGCAGCTTAAATTGAAGGCCATGTTAAAAATAATAACATGTTTGGGGCATGATTCATGGCGGATTTAGTCAGTTGTGTCAGGAACTGGTGGTTTGAAATCCAGACTAATCCACGCCTGATTCATTTTCACAAACGTGAGTCTCTCCACACTTTGGGTGGACAGTCGTGTCCTCCGCGGAGTTACAATACCTCCTGCCGCACTAAACACGCGCTCCGATGCCACGCTACTGGCCGGGCATGACAGCCTTTCAAGGGCAAATTCAGCTAGTTGGGCCAAAGGTCAAGTTTCGTTGCCTAGTAGTCAAGGGGATTGTCTACCTCGGTTGGCAGGGGTGCTGTCCAAGTAGGCCCAAGCCTGTTGTTTGAGGTCCTGCTCCAGGTCCACCTGATGCTGCTGCTGCGGCTGGTTATTAGTTTCCTCACTGCGCTGGTGAGGAAAGCTACTCATCATCGACTGCAGACTGAGGCAGCCGCTGCTGGTGGAGCTGCCACTGCTCCCTACCACCCCACCCCTCCCCTGCTGCCATGGCAGCGGAACGCGAGCGCACAGGGCCCACAGTGTCTGAGGATGGACGTTGGTGCAGAAAGGCAGAGACCAACTGACTACATAGGTAGTTTTTATAGTACGTTATTTTGGCCTCCCTCTCAGCAGGTGTGAAAAAGGCCACCATTTTTTGAACGGTAGCGAGGGTCCAACAAGGTGGACAGCCAAAAGTCATCCCTCTGTCTGATGGTTATTATTCGGCTGTCGCTACGCAAGCAACCGAGCATGCTATGGGCCATTTGTGCCAAGGAATGCGAGGGACTCCCTGCCTCCATCTCCACAGCATACTGCCACGGTGCGTCTGGGTCCTCTGTCTCCTCCTCCTCCTCTACCAGATGCTCCTGCTCCTCCACTCCTGTCCGCTGAGTGGAAAAACCACCCATTTCACTCAATAATTCCTGAGCACCAATGTCCTCCTCTACCTCCTCCTCTTCTTCCTGTCCTGCCCCCACAGGGGTCATGTGGCGTTGAGATCTGTGCGCCACGTCTACCACACCCTGACCAGCCATTGTTAACAGCATTTGTTCCAGGACGTGCAACAGAGGAATGACGTCGTTCATCCCATAGTCCTGCCGACTCACGAATAGCGTGGCCTCCTCAAAGGGCCTGAGCAAGCGGCAGGTGTCACGCATGAGCTGCCAATGGCTGACATCTAAGTTACACAGGGGAGTACCTTTATCCGCTTGTAACATCAGGAAATCAGTGATGGCCTTTCGCTGTTCGTAAAGGCGGTCTAACATATGTAGGGTTGAATTCCACCTTGTTGCAACGTCACAGCATGAGGAGTCGGTACGGGGGCCCATGGCAGATTACGGGCCTGGCAGCAACAATGGGAGGCCCGTAATCTGCCAGCACCCTATGACAAAATGGAACCCACCAGCAGTGTGAGGAGACCAGAAAAGTGGCACATGGCAGAGTGTGGCGATGGAGACAGCAGCAATGGGAGGCCGTACAGGGACCCATGACACACTCTGGACCTGGCAGCAGCATGAGGAGGCGGTACAGGGGCCCATGACAGATTACGGGCCTGGCAGCAGCATGAGGAGTCGGTACGGGGGCCCATGGCAGATTACGGGCCTGGCAGCAGCATGAGGAGTCGGTACGGGGGGCCCATGGCAGATTACGGGCCTGGCAGCAGCAATGGGGGGCCCGTAATCTGCCAGCACCCTATGACAAAATGGAACCCACCAGCAGTGTGAGGAGACCTGAAAGTGGCACATGGCAGAGTGTGGCGATGGAGACAGCAGCAATGGGAGGCCGTACAGGGACCCATGACACACTCTGGAACTGGCAGCAGCATGAGGAGGCGGTACAGGGGCCCATGACAGATTACGGGCCTGGGCAGCAGCATGAGGAGTCGGTACGGGGGCCCATGGCAGATTACGGGCCTGGCAGCAGCAATGGGAGGCCCGTAATCTGCCAGCACCCTATGACAAAATGGAACTCACCAGCAGTTGTGAGGAGACCTGAAAGTGGCACATGGCAGAGTGTGGCGTTGGAGACAGCAGCAATGGGAGGCCGTACAGGGACCCATGACACACTCTGGACCTGGCAGCAGCATGAGGAGGCGGTACAGGGGCCCATGACAGATTACGGGCCTGGCAGCAGCAGCAATGGGAGGCCCGTAATCTGCCAGCACCCTATGACAAAATGGAACCCACCAGCAGATGTGTGAGGAGACCTGAAAGTGGCACATGGCAGAGTGTGGCGATGGAGACAGCAGCAATGGGAGGCCGTACAGGGACCCATGACACACTCTGGACCTGGCAGCAGCATGAGGAGGCGGTACAGGGGCCCATGACAGATTACGGGCCTGGCAACAGCATGAGGAGTCGGTACGGGGGCCCATGGCAGATTACGGGCCTGGCAGCAGCAATGGGGAGGCCCGTAATCTGCCAGCACCCTATGACAAAATGGAACCCACCACCATCAGTGTGAGGGAGACCTGAAAGTGGCACATGGCAGAGTGTGGCGATGGAGACAGCAGCAATGGGAGGCCGTACAGGGACCCATGACACACTGTGGACCTGGCAGCAGCATGAGGAGGCGGTACAGGGGGCCCATGACAGATTACGGGCCTGGCAGCAGCATGAGGAGTCGGTACGGGGGCCCATGGCAGATTACGGGCCTGGCAGCAGCAATGGGAGGCCCGTAATCTTCCAGCACCCTATGACAAAATGGAACCCACCAGCAGTGTGAGGAGACCTGAAAGTGGCACATGGCAGAGTGTGGCGATGGAGACAGCAGCAGCAATGGGAGGCCGTACAGGGACCCATGACACACTCTGGACCTGGCAGCAGCATGAGGAGGCGGTACAGGGGCCCATGACAGATTACGGGCCTGGCAGCAGCAGCATGAGGAGGGGGTACGGGGGCCCATGGCAGATTACGGGCCTGGCAGCAGCAATGGGAGGCCCGTAATCTGCCAGCACTCTATGACAAAATGGAACCCACCAGCAGTGTGAGGAGACCTGAAAGTGGCACATGGCAGAGTGTGGCGATGGAGACAGCAGCAATGGGAGGCCGTACAGGGACCCATGACACACTCTGGACCTGGCAGCAGCAAGAGGAGGCGGTACAGGGGCCCATGGCAGAGTGGCGAAGCGTAAGCAGCTTAAATTGAAGGCCATACAGAGGCCTATGTTAAAAATAATAGCATGTTTGGGGCATGATTCATGGCGGATTTAGTCAGTTTGTGTCAGGAACTGGTGGTTTGAAATCCAGACTAATCCACGCCTGATTCATTTTCACAAACGTGAGTCTCTCCACACTTTGGGTGGACAGTCGTGTCCTCCGCGGAGTTACAATACCTCCTGCCGCACTAAACACGCGCTCCGATGCCACGCTACTGGCCGGGCATGATAGCCTTTCAAGGGCAAATTCAGCTAGTTGGGGCCAAAGGTCAAGTTTCGTTGCCCAGTAGTCAAGGGGATTGTCTACCTCGGTTGGCAGGGTGCTGTCCAAGTAGGCCCAAGCCTGTTGTTTGAGGTCCTGCTCCAGGTTCCACCTGATGCTGCTGCTGCTGCTGCGGCTGGTTAGTAGTTTCCTCACTGCGCTGGTGAAGAAAGCTACTACTCATCATCGACTGCAGACTGAGGCAGCCGCTGCTGGTGGAGCTGCCACTGCTCCTACCACCCCACCCCTTCCCTGCTGCCATGGCAGCGGAACGCGAGCGCACAGGGCCCACAGTGTCTGAGGATGGACGTTGGCGCAGAAAGGCAGAGACTAACTGACTACATAGGTGGTTTTTATAGTACGTTATTTTGGCCTCCCTCTCAGCAGGTGTGAAAAAAGGCCACCATTTTTGAACGGTAGCGAGGGTCCAACAAGGTGGACAGCCAAAAGTCATCCCTCTGTCTGATGGTTATTATTCGGCTGTCACTACGCAAGCAACCGAGCATGCTATGGGCCATTTGTGCCAAGGAATGCGAGGGACTCCCTGCCTCCATATCCACAGCATACTGCCACGGTGCGTCTGGGTCCTCTGTCTCCTCCTCCTCCTCTACCAGATGCTCCTGCTCCTCCACTCCTGTCCGCTGAGTGGAAAAAACCACCCATTTTCACTCAATAATTCCTGAGCACCAATGTCCTCCTCTACCTCCTCCTCTTCTTCCTGTCCTGCCCCCACAGGGGTCATGTGGCGTTGAGATCTGTGCGCCACGTCTACCGCCCCCCTGACCAGCCATTGTTAACAGCATTTGTGTCCAGGACGTGCAACAGAGGAATGACGTCGTTCATCCCATAGTCCTGCCGACTCACGAATAGCGTGGCCTCCTCAAAGGGCCTGAGCAAGCGGCAGGTGTCACGCATGAGCTGCCAATGGCTGACATCTAAGTTACACAGGGGAGTACCTTTATCCGCTTGTAACATCAGGAAATCAGTGATGGCCTTTCGCTGTTCGTAAAGGCGGTCTAACATGTAAGGTAGGGTTAATTCCATATGTTGTTGAATTCGCAGATCAGGCCTTGAATCCACCTTTGCAACGAAAGCGCAGATCAGGCGATGCTGTGGAATTCCGTTCTGCCGCTGCAGCTCAAGGAGGGTGTGCTTTGCGGTGTAGGAATGGCTGAAATGCATGCAAAGTTTACGTGACATTTTAAGGATGTCTTGCAGTGGGATGGTGGATTTTAGGAACCGCTTGACAACCAGATTGAACACGTGAGCCATGCATGGCGCATGGCACAACCTTCCTTGACGCAGAGCAGACACCATGTTCTTTCCGTTGTCGGTCAACATGGTTCCGATTTTCAGTTTGCGCGGAGACAGCCATCTGTCGATTTCTCTGTTCATTACACTCAGAAGTTCCTCCCCTGTGTGACTACGTTCGCCAAGGCATACCAGGTGCAGCACAGCGTGACACCGTTGCGCCCTGCACATGTGATATATGTTGGTCGGGTAATGGGACTTGGCACGGGGGGGGTGGCGGCTGAGGACACGGCGGAAGAAGAGGTGGTAGAGGCGGACATCTTTGCTTGACCAAGGACGTGCAAACGTGGAGGCAAAAGCGGCGTGACCTGTCCAAGTTGCTGGTGCGGCTGTGCCGGCACCACGTTCACCCAGTGGGCCGTAAATGACATGTACTGTCCCTGACCGTAGTTAGTTACAGCTCACACGTCGGCGCTGCCGTGCACTTTGGCAGAGACCGACATGCTCAAAAGACTGGCCCACCATCTCTTCTACATGTGAATGCAGGGCTGGCACTGCCTTTTTGGCGAAGAAATGCCGGCTTGGCACTCTCCACCCGCGGCTCGGCACAAGCCATCATTTCTCGGAAAGGTGCTGAGTCCACCACTTGGAAAGGGAGGGACTGCAGCACCAGCAACTTGGACAGGAGGACGTTCAGCTTCTGCACCGTCGGGTGCGTGCTCGCAAACTGTTGTCTCTTGGAAACGGATTCCAAGAAAGACTGCTGACGGAATCCATGAAGAGGAGTAGCAGGAGAAGGAGCATCTGAACGAGCGGAAGATGCCAACGAGCGACAACTCCCCTCAGCAGAGGTGTTGGAGCCTTGACTGGCTGATAGAGGGCGATTGACGTCGGGTGACGGAGCAAGTAACGGAGCGGGTGATGGAGCGGGGGGGGCTGGGGCAGGCAGAACCGCCGCCGTATCTTTATCACGGTTTTTCCCAGGCCACCGAATGGCGACGCTGCATATGCTGACGCAACGCTGTAGTCCCAACATGGGCCCCCTGGCCACGCTTGACTTTCTGGCCACATAGTCGACATACGGCTTCGTTTACTTCCTCGGGCGGCTTGACGAAAAATTGCCACACCGCCGAGTAGGAAACTTTGTCCCCCCCACTACTCCTCACTGGCTGACTGCTACTACTGCCTCCTCCGTGCACACCGGCACCACTACTGGCCGTGGTGGTAGGCTGCAGTGGAGCTGGTGCTCTACTCCGTGGCCGTTTGCCTCCACTGACACTGCTGCGACCCTGCTGCCTCCTGGGCAACCCACCGACTGTTTTTGCTCGCTGGCAAAGCTGGCACCCTCTTCTCCTGATGATGCGGAAGCAATAGCCTGATGACGACGAGGCTGCCAAGTGCGATCAGCCTCATCATCATCAATTAGGGTCTCCGCCTCACTACTAGCCCCCTCGGCTGCGTGTGGGTCAGGAGACAGACCTGTCTCTAGACCGGCTACCGAGCCACTCTCCTCGCCAGTACTTCTTCGCCTGGCTGCTGAAGAGGCGGATGTCTCCCCCCGTTCCTGACCGCCCTCTGTTAGCTCTTCCTCACTCTACAGTGGGGCTGAGCCCACAGCATGCGATACTTCGCTTGGTGAGGGAACACCAAAGGACAGGGGCAGGTAGAGGACACGTGATTTCAGTGGGCTTGCTCCCGGGCCATGCCAACTAACGGTTGTGTGTCTGACGTACCCACCGACCGTTGGCTGTAGGTGTCAGAGGTGACCTGGGAAGAGGAAGACGACCGAGCCAACCAATCGATGACGGCAGGGTTGTCGGTGGAGACACGACCGCTGGATGACACCGGGAGCACTGGCCTCTGGCTGCGACTAGTGCTGCCTCGACCCCTTCCTCTGCTGCCACGTCTGCTCGCTCCTGAAACATTGCCTCCTCTGCCACTCCTCTGCGTGTTGTCTGACATACTCTTTAATTCAACGATTCTGTGTCCCTGAGTAACGATTCTGTGTCCCTGAGTAACAATTCTGTGTCCCTGAGTAACAATTCTGTGTCCCTGAGTAACGATTCTGTGTCCCTTAGTAACGATTCTGTCTGTGTCCCCCTCAGTAACGATTCTGTGTCCCTCAGTAACAATTCTGTGTCCCTGAATAACAATTCTGTGTCCCTGAGTAACGATTCTGTGTCCCTGAGTAACGATTCTGTGTCCCTGAGTAACAATTCTGTGTCCCTGAGTAACAATTCTGTGTCCCTGAGTAACGATTCTGTGTCCCTCAGTAACGATTCTGTGTCCCTGAGTAACAATTCTGTGTCCCTGAGTAACAATTCTGTGTCTGTCCCTGAGTAACAATTCTGTGTCCCTCAGTAACAATTCTGTGTCCCTCAGTAACGATTCTGTGTCCCTGAGTAACAATTCTGTGTCCCTGAGTAACAATTCTGTGTCCCTGAGTAACAATTTTTGTGTCCCTGAGTAACAATTCTGTGTCCCTGAGTAACAATTCTGTGTCCCTGAGTAACAATTCTGTTCTGTGTCCCTCAGTAACGATTCTGTGTCCCTCAGTAACAATTCTGTGTCCCTGAGTAACAATTCTGTGTCCCTGAGTAACGATTCTGTGTCCCTGAGTAACGATTCGGTGTCCCTCAGTAACAATTCTGTGT